ACCTGAGCAGATATGCGATGAGAACGCCTGGCCCTTGGTCTTTGGCCACAGAGTCCGACATCTTTTGCTACCCCAAACTCGTTGCTTTGGGCCAATCGACCAATCGACTTCTCCAGAGGAACCCCCTCTCCTCGCCACGCTGCCTCTCCGACCGACCGTCGAGGTGAAGTGCGAGGCCCATGCGGCGGAATACGCCGAGAGGGTCAAGGTCCGAAACGAGGAGCTGGTCGGCTGCTCGAAGGCCGGAAGACGAGCGTCGAGCGGTCGGGGGATGGAAGGGGGATGGAAGGGGGGAATCGCCCAAGCCCGGGAGTTTAAGTCTGAATTCAGCTTCAGCTTCGCAAGGCAACAGGTAGCAACTCCATGGAAACCCAACCTAGATTCTGCTGTTGGAGAAAAAGTGTCCTTTAGGTGATGATCCGAATGTTTCCTTTGAGCTGCAGGGAACGCATTGGCTTCCCGCAGCTCCACAGAAACTGCCGGTGGATTCGCTTGGATTCCCTGAGTCTCAACACTGAGATGGGTCGAACACTGAGGGCAGCTGCGCGTTGAGCGCGCCGCTTCGCCGCTTCGCTGGTCTGTGAGGCCGCGGCGATCTTGAGCGACGATTCGGCCAGAGACACCTTCAGCCGGGGATCTGGGGGATGGAAAGAGCACGGAAGGGGTGTTGGAACAAAAACCAAAACTTTAAAAATAGGAAACCAGAAAAGACCTCTTTGAACCCCCAGAACTCCAAGATCAACCCAAGACCCACTGGGCCCGCGGTCCTTGGATCTCTTCCCACCACGCCGACCTCACCGTTGCAAGGTCGGACCTTCAACGCCGCCTTTCTGCAGCTGGGCCGGGCCAATCGGACGCAGGCGGAGCAGGCGGCCGCGGTGTTGGCGAAGGCGGCCGCCAAGAGCCATGATGCCAGGTGCAGCTGGAAGAGGGAGAGATCCGGTGCGAGAGATCGTGTGATCTTGTTTGGAACATGCTCTTCTTTCGTGGCACGAGCGGAAAGGATACATAAATAAAGACAACACATATATAACTTTATATCACTATATAAATATATAATGATTATATATAGCATGTAAATGTGACACAAGGGTTGAAGATTTCCGATATTTGATGTCAACAAATCGGATTCCTTGTGGAATCACAGGTTGGTGGCAGTCTCCCACATGGTCCGCACCGATGCCTTTGACCAGGTCAAGCAGGAGAGGCGAAAACGTTCCAAACCACCCAATGAACAAACCCCGAAGGAATGCCAACCAGCGTTCGCCTTTAGATTTTTACTTTTTTTTAAAGATACTTATTCGCTTGTCTTAAATGTACGCGGGTTCCAGCCAGCAGGGGAACATAGAAGATCTGGTGATTTTGCTGCAGATGTCTTGGGTTTTGAGCGCTTCCAGCTGCGAGCAAAGGAGATTGATTCCATGGTGCGTCAGTTGAAGAAGGTGCAACAGGTGCGGATTTGACGTGAAAACGTGGGTGAAAGCCTTGGTCAGTTATGACCGATTCAGGTATCTGCACCTACCTTTTCGTCTTTGGCCATAGTACAGCAACTCATGTGATGTACGTCCAGCTCGGGTTGTATCCCAAGTAATTGCCGAGTGGGATGATCACTTCACGAATCATGAAGTGTGTGAAACATGTGAGCACCGCAAGAAACCTCCCAAGATGAACTAAATAAAGGCCTTGTCCTATGGAACTTGGGCGTAGGCAAAACCTAAAAAGCGTAAGGTTGCGTAAGGGAGTTGTGAGACATGCATGTGGTGTAAGCTTGCCATATAGTCGTATTTTCACCTGCAAAAGGAGCGTTCGCGTAAGCATTTCCCTTGGGAGAATGGTTCTTATGTGTGTATGCGTAAGATTTGCGTAAGGTTTTCTCCAACATCCGTGGCACGTAAGCTCACATTGTGGTCGCGTAAACAAAAGGTAAGCAGGAGCGTAAGACAGTTATACGACATAGGGGTTTAATCATGTGTATTTTGCATAGCTCATGTGGATCCGACCGCACCGCGACAAGAACGTACGCAAGTCCTTCACCTGAACTTGGATTCCAGTTTGTCTGGGAAAGTGCGAGCAGTTTCGGGAGGAATGCCAGCCTGAAGTTGTGACTACGTTGTGACTACGATTTCACTGAAAGCTCATATCATGCAAACATAGCTAAATAAACAAAACAAAACGAGACTCAGCAGAAGACTCGACCAGAAAGGAGGACTCAGAACCAGACTCACGGAAAAAGTAAAACAAATAAACGGCAAAATAAAAACAGCTGGAAGCACCTCGAACAACAGAGACAGATAGAGTTTGTTTGTTTGTTTGTTTTATTTGCTTTGTCTTTCAGTCTGGATTTGTTTGTTATTGATATTGTTATTATCTTTTTTTTTTGCAAGAAAAACAAGAAACTAAACAAATCCAGACTCAAAAACACACATCCAGACTCAAAGACAAAACACATAGACAAAGATCAATCTAGTTTTTGTAACTGTGTTCTCTCTTTCTTTTTTTAAAACTTCCGCGTCGATTTGTTTTGTTTTGTTTTTCAGAATGTTGTTTTGTTTGTTTTTGATATGTAGTTTTTTCTTGGTTCTTTGAAGGTTTTCTTCTTTTTCATGATCTTTGACTTTTCACAAATTCGATCTCACAAGCCTGGAGATGACAATCACTTTGTCCCAGGAGGAGGTTTCCTCCAAAGACTCCTGCGTGCAGCGATTGCATGAGAACAGCTTGGCTCCTTGGTGACGACTTTGCCTCGTGACTGACTCAACATGGACGATACAGGATTGCAGAACTACTATCGTTTCCAACAGTTTCTTCCGCAAAACGGTTTCATTCCAGTGAACAGTTTCAAAACGGCTTCATTCCCTATCCCATTCCAAGGAACCTTCCAAGGAATATATAATCACCACGAAACCGTTTTCATGGGGTCACTGGTTGTTTCTTTTGTTTCCACTTGGAGAGCAATCGCAAGAGGACAAGCAATCCGAAAGCCATGAAAGCAATGAGGCTTCAACTTGCCCCTCTTGCAACTCCTTAACATATCTTGACATCAGTTGAAGTCTAGGATTTTGTCAGGCGGTCCCAAATGACGGCGAAGCCACAGCATAGTTCCCGACCCCCTTTTCCAACTGTTCTTTCTTCTGTCAACTTTGGACACCCAGAACCTTTGGAAAGAATGAAGGGAATTTGGGCTGCCAGAATCAATCTCGCTTCAATGGCCGTGTGTGAGCTCTCCATTTTTACACTCCAGTGCTTCTGGATGAATAGAAAATGCTTTTCACACGTTTGCATGTTGTTGTTTTTTTTTTTTTTTCACACGGCTTTGCTGAGAAGGAACACATGTGCTCCGCACCTTTGAAACCAATGCTTCTTTTGATTGACATGAAGATGGACGAGACCAACATGGGCGAAACGTCCCTCTTTCGCCGACCTCGACGTCCCGCGTCGTGAGCCTCGACAGGACACCACCAAGTCGAGCAACAGCAAAGCGCAGATGGACAGCAAGGTCTCGGGCCTTCAGGAGATGGATTTGATTGCTTCTTTAGTTGATATAGTATTCCCAAATAGATACAACAGTAGATCCCCCTACGAACATGTCTTGGAAACTGTGATAGTGGATCATCCACGATCTATTTGGGGATCACTATACCAAAGTCCACCATTTTGAGGGAGCTTCTGTGATTTGGGGACTCGTTCGAACTTTGCGACTCGATCGGTTGCTTTCCTGATGTACTTTCTGTGTGATTGAGCTAGTTTCCACAGTTTCCACATCAATGGTCATGGGTGGCTTGAGATCAGTCAAGCATGTACAGTTGTGTCCTTGTACGTCTCTTCAGTCTCGGATTGTGTTCCTCCCGCTAGGTCGTGATTCTGCCCACCCTTTTCTGGTGCTCAACGGTTCTTTCGTGAGGATTTGGTGTCCCAGACCAATCACAGCATCAAAACCTTGAAACTGGAGATTGAAGAACTGAAGTCGGAGATGAAGACCGCCAAGACAGATATGGAGTTGCGGCAGAATGAGCCTGGCGGCCCAGTTGACAGATATGTTCCCCTTTGGTGCGTGAAGCGTGCGGTCTCCGCAGAGTCTTCAGCCGATGTCTGAGGTCCTCAGAAATCATCAAGGACCAAAAGCACACGCAAGAGTCTTCAGCTCAGCCAGTGACAAGTCCAGCATCTGTAGAGCATCTATAGATCGATAGAAAGAAGCATACACACACATATATATATATATGTACAACATATATATATATATACATATATATATATACAACACACACATATATATATATATACAACATATATATATATACAACACACACATATATATATACACATAACAACCAACAAATATATACAATGTATATATATATACATACAAAAATAACATCATACATATATTTGTATACACACATATAGTCACTATACTTCTCAGTCTGAGGCGAATTCCTTCGAAGTTCTGGCTTTCACGGAAATTTGAATAACCAATCACTTGTCGCACTGAAGGAACCTGGACCATGAAGAGACGATTTATCCGTACGAGGGTGACACGTTAGTTGGGTGAGGGAGTCCCCTGTGATAAGTTCTTTGCCGCACCAAATGTTCCAACAATACATCCCTGTCAGAGTGCAACGACATCAATCAGCTGCATGTCAGGTCTTTGTTTGGGTTTGGTGTGTTGGTCCAGTTGTCCATCATGAGTCGGTGGGTTTGCCAGCTGCATTGTGCGAGATGCCCATTTGGAGGTTCCGTTCGATTATTGTCACTCATTCAGCGTGAGGGGCAAGTCAGGAAAATAAAGGCCTTGCCTCCTGACACTGCAAGGTGTTGTGGGTGCTGCTAAGTAGAGCATGTTCTTGGTTCTACATGGTTCTACTGGAAGATGGGCAGGGTGCACCACCTTGAATTGCCTCACAACTCCTACAGCAAGCAGAGTTCATCGACAAAAAACGGTGCACTCATAAATGCAACATTTTGCGACTGTCGTGTCGTTGCTCTTGTCTTCTTGTCGTTGTGATTTGCTGCAATCCGCCATCCTATGGAGCTGATATCCCAGATAAAAGGCAAGAGGCTTGCTTGTGCTTGTATGCTTTATTTGTGTGCGAGGCAAGGTGGGTGCCCTTTGGGATGAGCCGCGCCGCGACAGAATGCGTTACACAGCCGGTGAACCCGGCCAATATGGCCTGTTGGACATGCAGCGTCCAAGGGCGTGTGACTCTGTGCGGGCCCTGCGTTTTGACCGGCAAGGCTTTTGAGCCGAGCCCTGGAAGTCCTTGGCAATGTGTATGGGCAAAGCCTGCTCCAAGAGGCGCTGGGCTGAGCGCTTGGTGTTTTCCACATCCCAAGCGTTGTGCGATTTGGAGGCTGGGCCAGATGCTGGCTCTTCAGCTGTGATGCTGCTCCTGCAGCAAATCATCGGCGATGCGAAAGTGCTGCAAGCTAAAGCTGAAACAGACTTCGAAGCAGCAGTGAAGGACTACAAGCAGTTCAAGGATGATGCCACAGTGGCTATCACCACCAAGGCCCATGGGATGATAAAAACCAAAGCACATGGGATGATTTCTACGGCATAAACCGTGCAGAATAAACCTTTCAATCCACTTGCGCGATTCCAATCTCTTTGCCAGGAACAGAGCCTGGTGGATTTGGGCGTCGAAAAGTCTGAAAGCAAAGCAGACCTCCTGGAAGCCCATGCGGAGGCAGAGTGAACATGTCATCAAGAGATCAATCCTGACATGGGCAAGTGGCTCAACGAGGGGTCTCGAAACAGACGGCGCAACTTATTGAGTTGATGAACACTTGGCTCCAAGTCTTGTCCAACTACTGTAACAACTTCATCATGAGTGCGGTTGCGTGAAACAATCTTTGTAACCCGGCCGCAGAGTCTGCGAATAGAGCGCCTTGTCAACTGACCGACAAAATTGCGGAGTCAAACTTACAGAGGTGTGTAATCCTCGGGATGTCGCGAGAAATCTGACAGAGTGAACACCAGTCCACATTGTCTATAGGCCACTGAGCTTGAGAAGGAGTTGGCCTCCTTGGGAGAGACCAAAGCTGCACTCAGGGAGGCTCTGCTGGCGCACCGATGTTTAATTACGCATCAAATGCATTTGCATATCTTGACTCAAAACAACCAGACACTGGTTGCTTTGAGGGTCATGGTTTAGTTTTTTTGCGGTCCTCTCCATGTTCATTGGGGCTCTGATGGTAGTTTGATCCGATCCGATCTTTGATCCGATCCAGCAACATGAGGCGCTTAGGTTTTCTTATGTTCTTGTGGATCACTTTAGATCCCTTGGAACTACTCCTTGGTTTTCCACTGCAAGCTGCGTGATGATCCCATTGTTTGGAAAAAAGAACGGTGACGGACAGGAGTGCGACTTGCTCATGAACAAGTTTGACCTCCGGCAAGAAGCGCGGGAACAGGCGGGGCTGCGGAGAGCGATATCGGGGACCAGCTTGATGGGGATTTCCTCACACAAGACGGAGACCTGTCCCACTGTGGAAAGACCCAGGTGTTCTGTATGTCCCTCCGATTCCTCAAGTAGACCAGTCAAACCATCGGTCACGGAACTTCGACTTGCAGGACATTCATGGAATGCGGGCACACTGAGTGTGACTTTTTCCCCCAATTCATCCACAACCCCAACCCCACGCCTGCCAAGTGGAGGACCGGTTGAAACATCACTGAACAGAGTGAAACTGTTTGGAAAAAGTGCTGGTTCTTTGATTGGCAGCGAACCGTGAATGTTTGAGTTTAGTCAGTCTGCAACAGCCACTGATCAGCACTGAAGGACTATATGTATTAGTACTGATCTATCTATCTATCTATCTAGCTATCTAGCTATCAATCAATCAATCAATCAATCAATCCATCCATCAATCCATCAATCCATCAATCCATCAATCAATCTATCTATCTATCTATCTATGTACATAAAACATACATACTAATATTGTTGTTTGGACATTCTTTTGATCTGTGACCTATGTGCCCCCCCCGAAGATTGCCCTCCATCAGGTCCTGACTTGAACATGCCGGGTGCCGAGATAAGTCCTCGAGTCAGTAGTCAAAACACGATGTACTCCTACCTTCTGGTAAGAAGACAGGCTCCCAAGCTTCTTCTTCCTCCACATTCATCACCAGTGTAGCCACGCGTAGCCACTTTCCAGTTCCCATCGGGTGTAGCTCACGCATGACACTCGAAATGCCGTTCGTGAAACGAACGACGACGGGTGTCGCAACACCCGATGAAGGAGATCGACGCCTTGGTGACGGCCAAGTCGATCCTCAGCCACTGGGCACGTGGATCCGAGCAGAGGTGTTCTGCGCTTTCGATTCTTTTTGTGAGAGGTGCTGAGAGGTCGGGTGGTTTTTGTCCTCCAAGAAGGTGCTGGGTCTCTGGATGTCTCCATGCTTTGGTCTTTGGAACAGATTTTGAGCAGGATGCTCTGGATACGTGAAGATTATAGTGTTTGAATGGCTGCAGAGGAGCATGACATGCACACCATACAGCATCTCGTGTTGTGGAACGTACTCATCTGGATTCTGGTTCCTCCTTGATCCCTCTATAATGGTAGTCAAAACCAGCTGTATCCGTGACACCATTATACGTGTCGGCTTCTTCATGCAGACGTCGACTGTCATCAGCTTCAAGGCTCCGGTGACCGCAGCTTTGCCTTGCTCAAGTCTCCAGAGCATTGCACTCGAAGCACTCGGAGCACTCGGAGCGCTGTCATGGTGGCATATTCCACTTTGCTCCAACATCGCTCGGAGGTGTCACGTTCGACTTGGCCGCACTCGGACGGTCCGGATCCTTTGCCTTGGGAGGATGCTTGACAACCTCCAAATCCTTTATGTAATCCCGACTGTGCAACAGTAAAACTGCTGTAGTTTCTAACAGCATCTCAAAGCATGGAATTGGTAGTTGCCTGGTTGCTAGCGCTTCTCAGTAAGGATCTATTGCCAATGAAGGTGCCTGTTCCTTCGTCGGTGCTGCTTCCGTTGTCGATGATGTCTTCCACGTTCTTGGAGGAGCCGATATTGCTGGGGGCGATGTACCTTGGCTCATTTGTGATGATGTCCTCATTCCTCATTCATCAAGCCAGGGTTTCTGTAATTTGGAATGTGCTGCGGAAGAAAACTTCAAAGGCAAAAGATCTGGAATGCAAAACACCCATTGCTACTACTTACTACCCCTCACGCCGCACGGTTCTGTCGACAGCAACGCCCCCGCAACATTTGCAGGGTTCTGCATTCTGGTCTTTGGTGTATCCTTCAAAGGGGCAAAGGATGCCAAAGGGTCATAAAGGGTGAGCACTGCCAGCAGGATGCATGGTCTTTCTTCACTTAAGCACCGCCAGGAATCCAACACCGCTCTTTGTCCCCAATCCAAGCGCCGTGAACGGCAAGAGCCGTGGCAAAAAAAAGCGCAGTGAAGAAGCGATCAACGTGCACGATCTTTTTTCC